TTGCGAGCAATATCGTCAAGGCTTTGAAATTCAGTAATTCAGTTTAAATCAATAACTATTTTGAATTGGAATGCTCGATCTCTTAAAAGTAATGAAAATGAGCTATTTACCTTTTTTAGAGCTCATAACGTGCATGTCGCCGTTATAACTAAAACGTTCCATAAACCTGACCATAAGGTTAAGAGGGACGCAAATTATTTCATTAATCGAAATGATCGTCTTGATGGAGGCGGGGGTGGCACCATCAAATTCTTTCTTCATTTGAAACCAAAGTTTTTGAAACTTGAATCTGCTATTGGTAGCAATTTAACTCCACTTTACCAGAAAATTTAATTAAGTTTATTATAATTAGCACCACGAAGAACTAATAGCGGTTTGTCGCAGCCCTAAGTTCTTCGCTAAGCACATTTTGAAAACCACTGCTGTAGGTAAAACAAATTGGGATTACCTTTGGAATTTCCTTCAAATTCTCTTTTCACAATGCATTGAAATTCTCCTCGAAATTTCAATAAGCTTATTTTCAGAACACTCTTTAAATTGTATTAAAAATATCCCATTAATTTGCTACCAGAAATGTCTCAAATCATTTAAAAAAATTACATACTATTTGATGTTTCTAACATCATTCTCATTTTTGTCAGCCATCCACGGAGTTCTGTTCCCTTGAAATTTATATCGGAATACTTTTAAAAATCTGCTCAGAATAACTTTGGAAGATTTTTTCCTATGTTATGATTTTATTCAAAAACCCGGTTATTGTCAGCTACTTATAGTAGCACCCAACTAACATTTTCAACTTTATAAGCTAACTTTTTCAGCATTGTGCTGTAAACTAGCTGAAAAAAGCTGCAGATACAGCTACAAGCAGAAGCTAGCCAAATATTTTTCTCAACTTTTTTACAACCATAATTCAATTTGTCAGTCGTACCAACAATCAATACGAAACTAACGATTTTAAATTGGCTCACTACTTGACTAGCCTATTGGTCCCAAGCAAATCGATTAACGTAGCCCATTCTAGTCGAAATTCTAGTACTACACTATGTTTGTTTTGATTCGCTATGAAAGTTTGACAGATAAAATGAGGGGTTCGCGGATTTTCCTATGTTTCGAGGGGTGCATCGATTAGCTTGGGACCGAAGAGAGTACCAGAGCTGAGCCAAAAAGTTGAGCACGTTTTTTCGGGATCTTCTGGTCTTAGAGTTACCTCTATGGTCGTACTGAATAACAGCAGCCAATAAACGCTACTGTCACTTCTATGCAAATATTAATCAACTGTCAACTTGTAGCTGCAAGTAAAGGTAATAAAGTGAATATATTACTCATTTGATGGCTGTAACACAACCAACCACTCTTGCTGAATAACACAAACATCAAAAGTGCTTTTTAAACTACTAAACAACCTGTACTCAGCTAATCAACTGTGTTAGAGCTACTTTGCAAGCATTTTTACAGTCAACTAGGTTTATTTTTAGACGTGTGCAGTTTTACAGCTTTTACTCTGCTCTTTTACAAAGCTGAAGTAACTAGTCGAGAAAAGTGATTCATGTGCACTATTATAAAGCTTCTACTCAACTGTAATATAGTAGAAAGAAATGTATATTTGTTTACGTCAGTTCAAAGTGTTGGCGTAGCAAAGTTGGTAGTGTCAAGGTTTGCCAATGCGTTCGTCTCGAGTTCGAGTCCAGGTTCCGGTGCAGGGTAATTTTGGTGGTGTTCTTATAACTAATTTCGATTAATTTAATTCTCACAGCAAAATAAACTCAATAAACTCGAAACAAAAAGCGTATTCAATTTTAATAATATACGAATAATAAAGATAAAATCACCAGACTCTTTTCCAAGTATCATTTGTTAAATATAAGCAGTGTCCGAGCCAGGGGCCTTTACCTACAGAATTTTAATTATTTGTAGTTTTTTTTGCCTCTTCCTCCTCCTGTGGTTTGACCGATGGTTTACGAATGCAAAAATACTTGCGACTGTGATGCTAACAGTTTGACAGCTCTTTGACTGGGTGTTAGTTTATGTTAGCTGAATTTTTCGGTAAAAATATCGTTTGCTGTTTTTAAGCAAAGTATCATGATCCAGCAATCCGTTTCACTGAAATCTAAATCTCAAATTTGGTATATATACCAGGCCTCTACATTTTCGAAGTTCTAAAATGAACTCGTGTTTTGTTTCTCTCATACATACGTGTTCGACGCTTCATTTCTATAACGCAATAGACTATCAGCAAGAAACGAAAATAAAAAAGTAGGACGCTTAGAATGAAAGGCTGGCTGTGGTACTTCTCGTCGTTGCTTTGCTCATCGCTTTCAATGTAAGTAACGTCGATTTTCTAGTTAAACGAAACCTCATTATGGCTTTCAATCCCCTTTCACGAACACTCTATCACGGCTCTTTCAATTTGTTTAAAATGCGTTATGTCCCGTTTTCGATCATTTTTTTTAGATAAATATATGGATGGAAGATAAATTAAAAATATTACGTGTAATCTTCAAGTGTTTTGACGTGAGAAATGCTTTAAATGTGTTATTTCATTTTCCGTCATATACGTCATGAAACCTCTGTTGATGTGTTTCATGAAAAAGAAAACTATCAAAGTCGAGCGCTCTTTCGCTCATCCGTTTCACCGAAACTTGAAAGGAAGACCAATGGAGCGACGGGAGAAAGAGATACAAGCGATTGAACATTTGTTTGTGCACACCGACTGAGGTTCTAGAATGCTGCGAAGCTGTTCGACTTTAAAAGAAAAAGAAAGCCAGCAGTCTCTTCGTCGCATCGATTTGGTCGATTGAAGCTGATATTGTGACGCCCTGATATATACGCACCAAATTTGAATTGCTGAAAACCTGCAAAATTTTGCTGATTGTAGACTTGATGAAATATCTGCAAACTTTCCAGCAAAATAATGCTGCTGATATTTCCAGCAATTTGAACTTCTGTCAAGATTGCAACACTTTACTGAATTTGTATTTTGTTTGCTGAAATTGCAGCATAAGAATAGATGACAGCTTTTAACTGATTTTCCAGTAATTTTCAGCAAAATATTACTGAATCAACAGCAAATTTATTTATTTTCGTTGTTACTGATTCTTCAGCAAGCTTCGGTTTTTTATTGCTATACCAGCAGGATTTTTGTTTTCCATTTTATCAATGATTATAAAAACACGGTTCATAATCATATACGTATTTTATTGCTTTATTGGTTTTAAAAAAGAACTGGAGTATGTTTGTTTTGCCGCCTACGTTCTGCAAACGAAACCCTCAAAACCAGGCCAGTGACAAAGCCTATACCAACAGCAGCGTTTGACAGTAGGCCCGGGCTCAAATAATTTATTTTGCTGTGCTGGGCCCGCTGCAACTGTATAACATGTTACCTACGTGCCTGCCACTGGGCTGCTTTAAACCGTAAGGTTTTTTTTATTAATAAAATAGCTTAACCAAATAATTCCTTGACATACCTGCTATCTGCCGTAAATTTACGGACACCAATTAACATTTCCAGTTAAATTTTACACGAAACTTCATAACTTCATATAATTATAAAAAATACACATCGTGTCTGGAATCGCGGGAACGAAAAAAAAAACTTCAAAACCAAGTTGAAGTTTGTTGTCAGATAGCGTAGACAGGTTTTGCGAGATCTGTCATTTAAGTGCTCGGCTTACTGATCATCAGCAAATAATCTGACATTTGCCTGTTTTACTGGATTTCGGCAATGCTGAAAATACTAATACTGAATTCCAGCAAAAAAAAATATTTTACTGAACCCATTTCTGCAATTTTTTTTTGCTGAAACTCAAAATCGAAATTTGGTGTGTTCCTGGGTCCCCATTTGGGAGGGATGGTGAGGGGTGTTTTGCGCATTGCAAAAAATGGAATCTTTTCAGAATTCTGTAGATATTATCGTTAAAACTCACTGGGATTTCACTTCTTAATTCTCGTAGGGGTCATTTCAGAAATATATTGTTCCTTAATTCCCCCAGAATTTCTGTTCGAAATTCCCGTAAATTATCCATCGAATTGTGTTTCTTTTCTCCTCAAAATTTTCAAGAAAGCTTCAGACTATAGAAATAAATTCCAATGCCAAGAACATTCATAATATTCTAGAACTTAGAATCTTCCAATATCCTTAAAGATGCAGTCCCTTGAATTTCTTGATTTTGCTACCTTGAATATGTCTGTTAGTTACAATGAAGGGAAAATTTCTCAAAGTCTTTATAAAATCCAAGTCTTGGAATCTTGAAAATTTAAATAGGTCCCAGAATTTGTCTGCCATAATCAAACATTTTCAATGTCCACCATCTATAAGTGCTTTTCCAGTAACTATTTTTTTATTCAAATAGTATTATCCAATATTTGGGTCCATAGTAATAGCAGCTCAATAACGTTCGATCTAATAGTCTTCATGCTTTCGCAAATCAAGCAAATTTCGGGGTTTAGAGATCTTTAAAAATAATAATTATGAAAATTTGATCATTTGTCAAGAATTTAAAACTAACCCTTAAATTTATGTTAATACTTACTACGCCTTTGCTGTCATCACAGCAAGGATGTGCAAACTCAGATGGGCCCCGTTTGTTTCAAAAGACTTCAACCCAAAAAATTTCCCCCAGATCAAGCCGATTTAAAAAGGTGCTGTGAAAAACAAACTACCTACATATAAATTGTCCGCTGAAATTTCTCATAGATAATAATTAAGTTCACAGTACTTTGTTTAATATAAGAAATTTCACTGCAGCTTCGCTAAAGTTAACCTTCCGTTCTTTCAAGTTCGACACATAAAGCAAATATCAATAAATTATATAATAAATTTATGTATATTTTAGCCTCTGAATAAAATGGTTTACAAAATGTTTCGACAACTCTTTAAACAAACTTACTTCATAAAACTTTAACTAATAGATTTCATGCTATTTACATCTATACATCCTTTAAGACCTACAGTATCTACAAATCACTGGTACAAATTGAAGCCGTCCCACCACTGTCCTATTCTAATGAAGGCCTTTGCTGAAATCCCACGCACGCTGTTGAAGTAACTGCACCTGTTCGACTGTAGGCTTCCGGTCATGCTCCATTTCACTGTGGTTTTTAAGATTGACATCCTCGCTATCCGAACCACCTTCACAGGTACTAGCGTTGTGGCAGCAACATTTCTGTTGATTTTGCTGATGCGATCGACAAGGAGACGACGAAGAAGCCACACTGGGGCAGATGGGTGCATCACCTTTCTTGCGCTTTACCCGCCGGTTTTGGAACCAGATCTTCACTTGCTTCTCGGAGAGTCGCAATCGAGTGGCAATTTCGATCCGACGGAGTCGGGTGAGGTACATATTGGCAGAGAACTCCCGTTCCAATTCCAGTAGCTGAGTGCTGGTGAAGGCTGTCCGGATTCGCTTGCTCGACAGTTCATCATCGATGGCGTAGGCCAGCGGATCCGTTGGGGTCGGTGATGGGGTTGTAGATTTGCTGACAGTAGTTGCACTGGCATGTTTGGCACTGATGGGTGATGTTGGGTACGGAGAGAAACGCTCGGGAGTTTTCTCGCAGCGGTACAATTTGCGGTAGTATTCCTCTTTGGGCGAAAGTCTCGGCGGTTGCACGTCCGTTGGTTGGTATAGTTTAGGTGATAGATCCAGCGAAAGGTTGCGCGGTTGCGATAGGTGATGCGGATGGGGTAGGTGTAGCTGCTGTTGGGCATGTTGTTGCTGTTGTAATCCAAGCGAGAACAGGTAACTGCCAACGTAGCACGCCGAGTAAGGCAAGTTGGCCGGGGGAGTCACCGGTAACTGGGTAAACTGACTGTAATCGAACGCATTACTTTTCACTGGCGCCGGTTTGTCACTGATTAACGAGTCCACTAGGAATGATCGGGACATTTTGTTTACGTGATCACGTATTTTGAACAATTTTTAGGCACGAAGGGTGTGTTACTTGTCGGAGTGAAAAACATCAACTATCTGTGGGATGAGGGGAGAGGATTCTATTTATAGCGACCCTAGTTCAGGAAATCATCCCTTCTACATTTCATCCCCTCCCTTTGCTCGGTGAGCTAAGCAAAACGAAGGACGAAAAAGGATTCTTTTTCTGAGGTACTTCAGGGAACACTCAAAGATAGCACGAAAGAGGGAATGAAAAACATTGTAAAAGATGGCAGTGTGGCTATTAATGCTTTCGTGTGTATGAACAACTGCTAATTTTGTTTAACTACCATTGAAATTAGTAAGACCTGTGTGAAAGTCACTTTTCAATTGTAATGAATTACCCTAAAGCATTGGAAAAATAAGGTACCTGGAAACCTCCCGAAAGCCAAGTCAGTAAGGACGAAATTTTCTTTCGACTTTCCTGTACACTAAAACCTAATTTTACTATGTAACTGGCAACCCTGCCAAGTCAACCACTCGATGCCATTCCCATTCTTCATTGCCTTTTAACGCACTTTAGACACAGTTTAGCAACAATTAAAAGAGATTTGAACTGTCCTCGTTCCGCTCACGTTCGCTCCCGGATAGGGATAGAAAAACCAACGAAGAATGCATCCAGTGCCTACATACATAAACTATTCATTGCATTGTTGCTGGCTGCACCCTTCACGCTTCGGAAACAAGCGTATCAACTCCGCCCAATTTTTCCCACATTTACAACCCCTCTCTATCCACGATGTTGTTGTTGTTGTTGTTGTTCAACATCATTTGAAAATAGGTCCATTCTGTCGGGCTACCGATCGGCATTTCATTCTAATACGGCAGACAAGCTGTCTGCTCATGGATAAACACCCGGGTGTTATTCACACAGATCAAAATATGTTGCACTTGTAGGGTAGATGTACCAGTTATGGCTATACGTTCCTATTATGATGTGTTCGAATTATGGCCTACGGGAATTCCATAGGTCATAATTGGAACACACCATAATATGAACGTATGGCCATAGCTAGACCACCTACCTTAATAGGTTGTAATTTACAACTCTATAATCTGGAGCACGCTTTTAAATTTTCGAGTTCCAAACCAAAATACAAAAGTTTCACAATTTTTTGTCATATCTTCGATAAAAGGGTTTAATAGTTTTCTGATGTCTCTATCATGGTTGAAATCATATTGGTTCATATTGGTTCCCCTGCAAATGGTTTATGTTTTGTCGAATCGGTATAAAGGGTGTCCCAGTTCAAATTGCATCACGGAAAAAAAACGCTGTAGAAAATTACCTAGTTGACCGATCGTTTCCAAACTTTCAGACAATCAAATATAACCCATTAGTAAGCTTTTTCAAATTTATTTCATTCAACTTCAATACCATAACCGAACGCTCGCACCTTACGCTTAGCTTCACTCATTAGGTTCTGTACAACATCTGGCTGCAGCTTCTTTTGTACGGAAACCCACTTTTTCTTCATGTCTTCCTCAGATTTGACCTCCTTGGGATGCTTCCGTAGTGCCTGCTTCATAATAGCCCAGTATTTTTCGATGGGTCTAAGTTCCGGTGCGTTGGGAGGGGTTCATGTCCTTGGGTTCCTAAGTGACCCCGTTGGCTTCGTACCACTCCAGGACAACATTTGAATAGTGGCACGAAGCTAGATCCGGCCAGAAGATCGTAGGGCCCTCGTGTTGCTTCAACAGAGGAAGCAGACGATCATCCATGATGAGACAATGACGCTTCGTCAGCATCTGGGTGTACAGTTTCCTGGCCCGTGACTTTCCCACCGTATTTTGCCGTTCGTTACGATTAGGAGCCTTCTGCACTTTGTACGTATGCAGTCCCTCCCGGTCCTTGGCTCTCTGAACGAAAGACTTGGCCAGATTCAACTTTTTGGCCACATCCCTGACCGATGCATTGGGATTCCGCTTAAACGCTTTCACGACACGCTTGTGATCCTCATCACTAAATTGATGAATTTACGTTACGGTCGACCAGCAGATGGAAATGATGTGAAAATGATAATGATGTTTTGCTTCCTGTCAAATCGTCTGGGATATTTTTGAGTACATCATCACTTTTGTGGTTTTGAATTTCAAACCTAGGCGTCGCATGCACTGGTGCAGTTTCGCGTAAATTCATCAATAGAACATCCATTCTGACCGCATTTCTCCTTCCGTTTGATGCTCAAAGTTTCGTGGTAACGTGAAATCTTATGACTCATCGTTGACTGCACGGTTTCGAGTTGTTTTCCGATGTCCCGATGAGAGAGTTGAGGATTTTCCAGGTGCTTGCACGGCCAATCATACCAACTCAACGACTGAGAATAATTGACTCAGAGAATTTTCTTTCCATACGAAATTTACTCAGATTGGAAGAAACTGCAGTTACTCATAAGCTATGAGTAACTGCAGTTTCTTCCAAATCTGAGTAAATTTCGTATGGAAAGAAAATTATCTGAGTCAATTATTATTAGTCGCTGAGTTGGTATGATTGGCCGTGTGCGCAAAATCAATTGGTGTCTTTCAGTGAAACTTTTCCAAGCTTTCGCCACCTACATTTCGAAGTGAGAACTGCTAGAAGGAGGATAGCACAGACAAACAGACATAACACTTGAAAGTTGTTCATCGAACAGGCATTTAACAGACAATTTAAAAGTATCGTAGTTGGTAGTACCGCTACCTGTGGCGCGCATAGTCAATTCCCTTGCGTTTGACGTTTACACACTACCGCCATCTGTTCAGCGTAGTGCCCACCACAGTGTACTCAACAGATGGCGGTAATGTTTTAGCGACGATGTTTTACAGTGAGAAATATTCAATGTGTTATGTCTGTTTGTCTGTGAGGATAGTTTCCAAATTTTCAAAGTAAAACAGACGATTTTTGGGCCAAATCGGTCCATAAACAAAAATTTCGGTATGGATCGGAGATATTTTCATGGAAAATTATGCATAATGAGTTTGCACCCACAGGGAGAGGTTACCTCCTGCGCAGCTGCATTTTTCGGAAAATTGTTAATATGTGAGATTTCCACTAAGATGAAAGTGGGAATTAAGTGAATTTGCTTAGGAAAGATTGTATGATGCTGGTGATAATGGAGAATTGGTTGTATAGGACGCCAATATTCAATAAATTTTCATTTTGGCCTTTTTTAGGCAAACATATTAATACTCACAATTTTCGACGGAAAACGCAACGGAACTAGATTTACTCAACACGCACCATACTATAAAATGGTGCTAGATGGTTTTCGAAGTGATAACAAGATGACAAATCATCTTTATTTTGAGTAATTGAGCAATTTACTTCTGTTTACATCATATTTACGATGCAGCATTGATGGAGCCGTGAAATAAAATGAATATATCTTATGAAAGTTCATCTGGAAAGGTCAAAGATGCACATCAGTCTGATCGTAAAACCGTTTTCTTCTTCAATTCGAATGTTATATTGGAAGGATTTTACTCAGGCTTGATGAAAATTATGATTAAATGCTAATTTTCACGAATTTTATATGCAGTCTGTCAACATTATCATCATCTTGCAGTGGTGACATCTGCGTTGAGCTTTTACGGCAATCTCCCAATTCGCGACGTTGCTGTTCGGGTAATGGTGGGTATATAAATGGTGATACAGCTTTGTCACTATATAGGCGAGGAGGTCGCGGGGGGTAAAAGTGCAGTTTTAGAGCAAATTGTAAACAAACTCGGTCGCTGTCCCATACAACAATTCAACATGGCTGAATCATGAATTTGACACATTAGAACACCTATATGTAGTCACCTTGGTTCGGGTGACGCCATTTTATCCAACTTTCGAAAAACTGACAGCGATAAAAATACAGTGTAAACAATACACTCTAAACTACTTCCACCCAAATTTTCAAGAGAAAATACCCAATGGGTAATTTCCTAAAGCGTTTTTCTCCGTGATGCAATTTGATATGGGACACCCTTACATCATAGAGGTAACTAACCTCTAGGTAACTAAGACCAGAAGGTCCCGAAGAAACGAGCTCAGCTTTTTGGCTTAGCTCTGGTACTATCTTCCGTCCCAAGCTAATCGATGCACCCTTCGAAACATTGGAAAATTCACGAACCCCTCATTTTATCTGCCAAACTTTCATAGCGAATCAAAACAAACATAGTGTAGTACTAGAATTTGTACTAGCATGGGATTCGTTAATCGATTTGCTTGGGACCAATAGGCTAGTCAAGTAGTGAGCCAATTTAAAATCGTTAGTTTCGAATTAATTGTTACTTACATCCCGTCGTTGCAAGTTATAATTTATTGATTTCTCCTTTAACATTTTTTTCCATTAAGAGAAGCATTATAGTCAAATTTTTCATTGCATTATGCAAAAAAAAACACAAATTTCTGATTTTACCTTTCAAAATTAAGTAGGGCAATGATTAACTTTGTGCAGAAATTCGGAAATTTTGATTCTCGACAATTTTTTTCATATGGCGTATTCGATATTTTTCAAAAAATCATAGCACGAAAACGGCTCATCAAATCGAAATTCCCAAGCAACCAAAAGTTTCTCATTCAACAATAAAACCCACTTCCAAGTTCCATAATGTTCAAGTTCCGACAGAACTTTCAAGTTCCATAAAGTTTTAATAAATTTCTGACGGAACTTTCAAGTTCCATAAAGTTACAATAGCCGGCGCCGTTGGTGTAGTGGTAAGCGTGACTGCTTTCTTACACCCCAATGGGTCTGGGTTCAATCCCAGCCGAGGTCGGTGGGATTTTTCTGAGGCATAAAAATCTCTGGTCACGTCTTCCTTCGGAAGGGAAGTAAAGCCGTTGGTCCCGGCCCATGTGTGTTGAATGGGTGCGATATCCTACACAGGTGTGAAAGCTGCCTTCCTGCACATTCGATTACCATGTCAATGGATGGCAATCGATGTCCGTCGGTGATTGGCACTAGATTGCGGAACAGAGACCGACGTTAAATAAAGGAAAAGAAAAAAGAAGATAAAGTTCCAATAAAGTTCCGACAGAACT